CTGATGTAGGAGGGGTAGTAATTATCTTTTCTCTCTTCTAGTTCTCCCCTCCCCCACAGAATTCATAGTTCACTAATTAAATCATAGTTAAAGTGATGCCTTTGAAAAAAATGGGACTTGGTTAAGAAAATGGGTATTATTTTTACTTTGGAGCTTAGCTACATCTTTAGTGTTCACTTAATTAGGTCTTGCAGAGCAATGGCCCATTTTACCAGCTATCACTTCAGGTTAATAAGAACATCACATAATGTTTAGTGTTCCCAGTGTATTTGAATTCACCCATCAGTTAAAAAGGGCTCTTGGGTGATGAGAGAAGGTATAGGGGGGATTTCATCATTTGTTAAGTGCTCAAATATGAGGTCCGTCCAGAAAAAGTCCAGCTATTGTTAATATAATGGGAATGGTTCGCATAACTTCGGTGTGAACTGGCAGCCAAGGAGAGTGGACTGGAATGCGCATGTGTGACCAGTGATGGCTTCACTGCACTAGTCAGTGGGGGCAGGAGACTGTTGTTGAGTGAGCGTGTGCCCTGTGTGGCCGTCAAATTCGAAATGACTGGGCCAGTAGAGTGACGAATCTGCATCACATTTTACGTTAAGCTTTAACATTTCTCCACGGGAACTATTTGGATGATTCGGAAGGCTGCAGCTGTGGACAGGTGGTGATTGGCAGCTGAGTCACCATGACACACCTGCTCACGCACCCCATCTTGTGCAGAGAACATTTTTCGGTGAAACATCAAATCACCCAGGTACTCAGCACTGCCCTCTACAGCCCAGATTTGGTGCCCTGGGAGTTCTGACTTGTCCCAAAACCTCTGAAAGGGAAGAGATTTCTAACTGTTGATGAGATTCAGGAAAATACAATGGGGAAGCTGATGGCGATTGGGAGAACTGCGTGAGGTCCCAAAGTGCCTACTTTCAAGGGGACTGAGGTGTCCTTGTCCTATCTGCAATACTTCTCGTATCTCATATCTTCTTCAATAAATGCCTCCATTTTTCTTTTAACCCGGATGGATACTTCCTGGACAGACCGTGTAGAAATCTAAACAATGCACCCTAAAGTCACTTAAGTCTTCTTGGTAGACTTGTTCTCCAGCCCACGCTAAAAAGTGTGTTAGGGGCAGGATTTTTTCTGCCATGATAGATCGCAAATAACTGCACTTTTCAGTGTTAATACAAGTTTTTCGTCGATGTTAGTTTCTCATTTTTAGTGAAATGCAGTGATGATTTGTAAAAGACACATTTCTGTTTCTTAGTGATTTGGCTCTTCAGATGCAAAATAAAGATGGGATGGTAATGGGTGAGTCACACCTTTCCAGGTGTTGCAAAGACTTCTCTCTTTTTCCCCCAAGATTGTTGGTGAAAATTCAGAATATTCTGAGAGGCGGCATTGCTAATTCTCCCTCACGCCATATTATGTTTATGGGCAGCTTCTACTGGCATTTGTTGGAATCCCTTTAGTGTTGGAATCCTTTTAGGCAACTAAAAGTGTCAGAAAGGTTAAAATACAGTTAAAAGTGAAAAATTCTCGTACATGGAAATGCTCAGAACTGTCCCAGTCTTGGTGCCAGATGAACCCTGCATATTTCTGAGGAAGAGAATTGGTCAGCACAGAGCCCTGATTTCCTGAGGCAAAGAAAGAGTTGTTCACGACCAGACACTGGGGATCAAAACCGTGGGGGTGTTCCTTGTCTGTATTTTTCACTCCCGTATAGCATTAAGGTGGTCCAATTGGGTGTTCTCAGAATAAATCCTAGGGTGTTATATGGTTATTCATATGTTTAAGTATCAGGTTAGTTTCTACCAGTCTTGCCGTCCTTGTTGATAAAGACTGGGACTACAGACGGTGGGTAAAGAATTCTAGTTCGGATTTCGGAAGACGAAGCTTTGAATCATACCAGATCATAAATACACAGCATCCCATAGGTAAATGCATAGAATGTGTAGTTCAAAGTTCCAACAGAGTCTGCATAATTCTGTGAGCAGGGAAGCTGTCAAACAGGTGTTTTGTTTAGTATTTAACAGCGGGGCGGGGCCGACAGCAGCCCCTTTTCCATTCAGCACAGGGCATCCCCTTTCTGACTACAGGGACATTACATCCCCGCAATCCTGGGTTCCTGTTGGTGGGGACTGAGGGGGATGGGACGAAAGACATGATTTCACAGTTTCCTCATCGTGTCCCAGTCCCTCCCCAAGTTCTCGTTTTCTATCTGGTGAGGCCACAGGCCTGGAAAAAGGTGGGGCACAGCACTAACCACCAACAGTGGCCCCCAGGCCTTCTCCAAACCTGCACCTTTCTTTCTGTTTCCTGAGTGAGTGATTTGTGCCAACTTAGCGATTGGACTCAAGGGCACCTCCAGGGCCTGTCCAGGGAGGTCCACTAAGCAGGGGCCAGGACACAAGGACTGGTGAAACCCATATGACATATTTCTAAACACTGAAGCGTCACACATCACGCTGACCCAGTGTTAAGTAACAATGTTCTGTCTGCTACCTTGACGCGAATGCTTTTGTAGCAGTTGGGAACTTGGGTGTAGATGCGGAGTTGTTAGACTACTCGGAGTTCCGTCCAGGCCGGCTGTGAGGCAGCTGCAGGCTGTTCCCTTCCCCCTTAGCTCCTTCCTTTCCACCCCTGAGCTCTAGTGTTCACTGCAAAGAGCCGCTGCTCGCTCCTGTGTGAATTCCCCAGTGTGCACTCCCAGGCCCCGGCCGCTCACCTCCCCACAAGCGCTTCCTCTGGGTTAACCTCTTGTGCTCCGTGTCATGCACTCCTGGGGAGGCCTGCCTTCAGGAGTCTGGACTCCCAGAGGAGGTGCGCACACACCGGAAATGTGGAGGACATTGGGTAGGGACTTCTAGGTTCCTGGCTACTGAGGTGAAGGGGGAGGAGGATCGGAATGGACCCTCTAAGCAAGGGCCTCTCTTTGCTGGGACGGCAGCGCCTCCTCCAGGCTGCGGACGGGTTGGAAACAAAGCACTGTCACAGGACAGCAGGGTGGTCTGGCCCCTTTCCTATAAAGATCAACACTTCCCACGGAGCTGAACCTTTGGACCAAGACGTCTTTGAAGTCTTAGGCTCATCGATGGCGTTGAGGGAAAGAACCACAATTTACTTTGCGGTGAAATCAACGGATGAGCTCACACACAAGACTGTACTAACGCACCTTAAAGGTTAATCCAAATACAGGCCGAACAAGAACTAGGACCTTAAGTGTGTGAACAATTCAGGGCCCACTTTTCAACCCAATCATGTTCCTAACCTAATCTTACACATGGAACCTGCTTTGCAAGAACGCCAAAAAAGCAAGCAAGCAAAGAAACAAACAAAAATCCCCCAAGTTGCGGTTTCTTCAAAGAAACACACCCTTCAGCGGAATCTGAGAATCCAGATTCAAAAGAACATTTCATTCCCAGGGGTTAGATACCTAAAAGTGAATTTTTATTAAAAGCAGATCACATCACTTTAGGAAATTCATAAAACTATATCTGAAGATACCGAACGCAATATATTCCTCCTCAATTTAGATTCCTCGAGCCTCATAAAGATAAAAATGCAGATGAAGTGGTTTAGATCAGGCCTTCATTAAATTTTAGAATTAGCTTCTGGAATCCCAGGTATTGAAATGAAACGTGCAGTGTGAGTCCTGAGCACGGTTACAAAAAGTGCCCCGTGGCTGGAAGGAACACAGTCTGCCTTTGGTCTGTGCTCATAAACGCTAAGACAAAGCAAATCCCAATTCTAACATGGGGGAATCTGCCTCATCATAAGGAATCTCAGACTCCGTGTGCTCTTGGCATTTTCACGTGTAACCTTTGGTGAGCTTAATGGGTAATCTGCTGTTTGTATTTCTCATGTAAATCTCCAGTTTCTGGTTGGCACTCGGGCACTCAGCCAGAGCTCTAATTTATTTCCATCTTTCCTTATTTCTTACTTCGAAAGAGACTGTGGGTTAGAATAGCAAACATTCAATCGACTTAGACGTGGGGTGGCAGGCAGGGCAGGCGTTACCTGTTTACCTTTTATTGCCTTCTTTGAATTGGCTTTTCTGGGAACAAAACCAATAAGACATACTGTCCCTTTATCTAGTTTTTAGCAGGTTATTTATCAGAAGGCATTATGCTCCCCCACCCTCAGTCCCACCCCACCCTGTTTCAGCAAGGAGTGGCAAAAAATCCGGGGCAAAGTTTTCAGACAGGAAGCAGGCTCCCGACCTACCTCTCCCAGAGCTCACTGTGCTACCCGGCCATGTACGACCTCACTTCCGGTTTGGGCTGAGCATCGTTTCTGGGTCCAGGAGGAGAGGCGGCTGCGATCCCATTTGTCACCTGCAGGACGCGTGTGCTGGGAAGTGATTCACACTGTGCCAGCCCCCCTGAAACCTGGCGATGCTTCCCCCCACCTGCCTCCCCTCGCCGTCTTGCACGGTAATTGGCCTCATAAAAGGCAGAAACGAGAATGTATTACACCTTGGGCGGTACTTAAAACAAACTTTATTCTCAGGAACAGCAGTTATGTCTACGTGCTGCTGTATATTTGATATTTGCTCTAAATAGTTCATCTGAATATATTCAAAGTCCAATTGCTAATTACTCGGTTTCCCTGCGACTTCCCTGGTTCCCCGGGTTACCCCTTATGACACTTGTGTAAACACTGTATTTGGGAAGATACATAGCTCAGCGTCCCTGGAGTCACATGGTCCCATCAATCTGTGAAAATAGCATGACTGAAAAATAAAAGTCTCTTAGTACTCTGCCAACAGGCTTTGGCATAATCTTGGCAATCACTTAGATTTTTTTCCTGTTATCATTTTCCCAAGTGGAAATAGTCTCATGTTTTGCAGAAGCTGTCCAAGCTAGGGAGCATCATTCCATCTTCCTGGGTGAACTGAATTCGCCAGCTGAGTGTATTCAGTCCACATAGAAATCAGTAAAGTGAGTGTGAAACGGCTTGGTGGCTTCTCCTTTCATCTTAAGAAATTGCAATACGGATTCCTGAAATCATTTCTGCAGGAATTTTTATTCTTTAAATCTTCCAGTGGTAAAGCAACAAGAAAACACTTAGAATGTCCTTTGGTGGAATCGTATTAACACTTGTTATATATGTAAACTGATATTCTTTGATGCCAGCACGTTCGTTGCCCTCACAGAGAAATCTCTGCACAATGAAACAAAACTGAACGGAAGGGAACAAAAGTAAGATGTCAGTCTGTGCTGATTCGAATGAGATACACGAACAGATTGTCTGGTAACACAAACTGGCAAGAATACAAAAAAATCTACATATTACAGTATTTCAAGAAAAATAACTTCATTTGAATACAAAAGGATAGATACACTTTCTCTTTTCCCTACGGCCACTCTCAGACAGTGGACAGTGGGCGCGGCGCGGGCACCAGGCGCTGACTCATTGCGTCGTGGACGGGCGCCTGGCTTGAGCTTCTGGAGGGGCTGGTACACATGTGCATCACCGACATCAGACAAAGAAACCTTTCAACCAACGAGGGTTACAGAGCAACGTTCACTAAAGCACAGGTTGGAAGGGAGTCAGGGGCCGAGACGGGCCCGGCGGGCGGCACAGATGGGCGCGCACCCGCGCACCGGGGAGCGCGCGGAGGGCGCTCCGCCTCGCCGGCCCCGCTCTGGGGCCGAGTGGTCCTGGGACGCGCCGCGTGAGAGTACCAGAATTTATTAGGTCGGTTGGTTTGCGTTGCAGTCTTTCCCGCTGCGGGGCGCAGCGGGGCGGTGTCCCAGCCTTTCCCACCGGCAGTCGGCTCTGCGCGGGCCGCGCGATCTTCAGTGACCTGAACCAGCCGCCGCCCGCTCCGGAGTCAGAAGGGAACGGACTCGCAGGTGCGCCCGCGGCTGACAAATATGGCTTAGTTCAGTCGGGCCTCTTGAGTTCGTTCCCTGCGTCTGAGTGGGGGTGTCTGCGTGTGGGTTTCTGGGTCAGTGGCAAAGGCTTGGGCCGCGTTCGCTTCCCCAGGGCACAGGCCCGGCCGGTGGCTACAGCGCCGCCTAGATCACCAGGGGCCCGGCGGTGGCCAGCAGCGCGGTCACCAGCAGCGCCGGGCGGCGGAGCGCGGACGCCCCCGGGCCGGAGCCCGAGCCCGAGCCGCAGCCGCCGGCCTCCTCGCACCGCAGCTTCTCGCACAGGACGCCCGTGTAGGCGGCGGGGCACAGGCAGCGCACGTTGTTGTGGCAGGTCCCTCCGTTCTGGCAGTGCAGAAGCTCGTTGTCGCAGACGTTGGCTGCAGAACGAGGGGGGAGGGGCGCGGGGCGCGGGGAGGAGAAGCAGAATCAATTTAAGTTCATCTGGTACATCATGTTTTCAGCTTAAAAGAAAATCTCTATCGATTCCGCGCCCCCCCCCCCCGCCGCAAACGAAGCACGTGACTCCAATTTCCAGACACAGGTGGTTTGCTGCCTTTGTTTGCACCATCCGTTCTTTTCCTACGGATTTTGGCTGCAACCTGAGACGGTACCATTGTGCCTTTCAGGCTGTAGAGTACAAGATAACGGAATACACCTGCTTTTGGCCCTGGCTTCTCACCGGACACCTGCGGTGACCTCCCGGGTTTTCAAAGGACAAGTACCTCATGCAAGAATGCAGTGCTTTTGAAGCCAGACGATGGTAATTAAAATGCAAAGCAGGACTGCTAAAATGACCCAGAGCCTCGAAGGGATGTGACATTCTCCCTGCAGGTGATCCCAGTGTCGCATGCATGATGACAGAAGCCAACTGAAAGGGACAAGATGGGACAGGGGGCAGGCAGCATGCTTCAGGCGGCAGCCACATGGGAAGAGAGAAAGCTGTTTTTCGGAGAGGTGTGAAGAGGAGCAGTCACTTCTGCTCCTGACAGCCTATTAGGATTTTTATCCTCTTGTACACCTGGGGAGTAGCGTCCAAGGTTACCTTGGTTTCCCGGGGATGATAAGAAATGCAGCGGTGAAACCCTGATTACCCAAATTTCACTCTGTTCACCGATCGATCACCTTCCTTTGAATAAGTCAAGACAAGCAATTCCAGAGACTAAAATTCATGTGCGGTCCCTGTCATGTAACTTTCACCTCTCATAATTTCTTAGTTCTTCAAAATTCTGGTTACCCTCATTTACCCTCATTAATGCCAGGTTTCTGATTCTTTTAGATAATCAAGGTTTCACTGGTTTAGCAGAATGTTCGAGAGGACCCAGGGACATGAAAGGAACAGCACAGTGAAGAGCTAAGAGCCCTGCCCAGCAACAAATGCTGCCAAAGCACTCCGCACGCAGAAACGCTCCGGAATGGGCGGTGGGGGCAGAGCAGAAAAAGGAGTTTGTTAAAAAATAAATTATAACATTTTTTCCTTTCTTTTTTTTTAATGCCATGGTTCAGTTGCCCCAGGGGTACCACGTGACTTAACCACACACATACACCCACTGAATATTTCTATCAATTGCAAAGTATTTAAAAAAATAACCCCCATCTCCCAAGCAATAATTCAATAGTGTTGTCTTGTTATTACTCCAGTTCCACGGTCATGCCGCCTTCAGAAGTAGCTTCTTCCAGACGTGCTAATTAACGGTGTGTGTGCAGCTGGACCGAGAACAAGATGGCGGAGGGAGCTCAGAGGGTTGGTGACCAAGTGGCCTAGACAGGGCCCTGCGTGACCACCTTCCAAAATTCCTTGGTGACTTCCTGGTGGCAGTCACGTAATGTGTTGGTGTGATTTTCAAAGGGACTCGCACTTGCTATCTGTAAATGTCCGAAAGTGATGACAGAGGCCCGCTAAACCCTGCAGCTCAAAATCTTGATAGGCAAGGTGGTGTTCCGGCTATAAGGGTACAGTGGGTGGTTGTACTCGCTGGCTCTCACTGGGCGGCGCAGAAAAGGTGAGTGGTAGGCCCATATTGCAATAGTTTAGGAGTCAGGGTTTAAAATGTCAAGAGCTGTAGTCAGGAGGTCAAGTCTACAAGTAGAGGGAGATTAGATCATGGTCAAAACTGACAAAAGTCTTCCTTTTTTTTGGTGGTTGTTAATTTGGAAAGCATGCATAGGTTTTTAGGATTTTGTTTCACTTACACTTCGGGAGATATCTGTTTAATTGGGGCCACATGGAAAAAACAGATCCAAATAACTGTTTGCATTTAAAGTTAAAGATTCTCAGCATTTTGATTACAGGGAGCAGATTGCTGAATAGAATATTTCCTTTCATTTAGGTGCTGCAGCTAAGGAAATATCTGTTCCATCAATATCGATAATTGCTTGCCTTGAGTAATTGAGAAGAAATCAATAGTTAATTAAATATTGCTCCCCTTAAAAAAAAAAAAGCTTTTTTTTTTGCCTCTTCCTGGGCCTGAATGTAAATCAGGAACTGAGGTTTCTTTTTTTTTTTTTCAAGAAGTTGGTGATTAAGTTAAAATTCAATGCCTTTTCTACATTTAAATAATCCACTGGTTGATATGGGTGATTGTGAGAAATTTAATAAACAGACAAGGAACAGATGTAACCTCATGAATTGGAGGAATGTATTTTTTGTAAGACAAACTGTGGTGGTGGGGGTAAGAAACCTAGAATCCATCTCACTACTTTAGAACTCACTGTAAGACATACTACATTTGGTCTCGTGAGCGGGTTGGCCTTTGGACAAAGACAGAACCTGGCCGCTCTGTTGGAATCCTGTGCTGGAAACACATCGAACCCTAACTTGCAGACCTTGCCTGATGCTCATAAACTTACGCTCCATCTTTGTGTGTCTCTGAACCAAAATCGTGGTGCTCACTGAGTAACCGGGTGGTTAACAAATATCACTGAGCTCTTCCCCAGCATATGACACTTTGTACTCAACACCGCGAGGGCAGAAAAGAAATATAAAGCCCAGCTCTTACGGAGTTCAAGTCTGGTGGGGAAGATAAAATATATGCAAGAAACGATGTCATATTAATTTCATGAAAGTGCCCTCATTGGTTCCATCCACCTGAATCAGCAGCATACCTGCGGTGTGCCAGGGGTCCTGCTAGATTTCATAGCTGTTATTCTACCTGCCCTAAGGGAGCTCACCGTTTGGCAGAAAACAAACAAAATGAGCGTATACAGAAATAATTATGATGCGATATAAGAAAGACAATAAAGGGAGCATTTGCAAACGGCTAGGGGAACTCAGAGGCTGGTGTGAATAATTATTTGGGGGGAGATTAGAGTAGATTAAAGACAGAAGATGGTATTTGAGCAGAGATGTGCACCAGGCAGCATTAGGGATGGGAAACTGGAAGTAAAGGCACAGAGGCGAGAAGGAGCATCGTGCTGGTTATTAAGCAATTGTCTCCCAATTCTAAATCCGTCCAGTGTTCTGATGTTGAGGCTGGAACCCTGCAAGTTGTCTGTTGGCTTCCACTCACAGGGGGGCGCTAGAGGGAGCAGAGGAGGCAAGAGGGAGGAAGAAGAGATTCACCCCTCTCTCCCCCATTGCCTGGGTCTTCCTAACAGCAGAGCCTCAGCAATGGCCCCTCTTCCAGCAGCTGCATTTGAATCCAGGGCTCAGTGTTTTCGGAATCAGCTCCATCTCCGCCAGGGAGGGTCCTGCGCCAACCTTGATTTGGACCTATCGACCTTGAGGGTGTAGGCTCTCTTGCAGGGGGTCTTGTTACAAGCAGGAAAAGCTGATTAAGGGTTCAGGAGGTACGGATTTGGGACAGAGCTGATGGGTCATCGTGACGAAGGGTGAAGCAGCAGGAGGAGACGACCTCATCCTGGGAGAACATAGATGAGGTAGAAATGAGAACTGGGGGGTAGAACACCGGAGAATGTTAGCGTTTCAGCCATAGGGAGAGACACAGTGACCATGAAGGATGCTGAGAGCAAAAGATGTTACCAAAGCCGAAGGGAGGGGGTCCAGAAACAAAGAGACAGACTGGGCGTGTCTGAGAGGAACGGCACTTTGAGCTGGGGCAGGGACACATGTAAAAATAGCATCGCATGCTCCTACTCACTCTGAAAGAAAGAATTGTGGAATAACTAGAAAATGGGCTGAAGAAATGCGAGGAATTAACGTTTCCTAGAGGTCTTTGGCTGTCTATCCGAAGTAGTGGTTTTCAAAAGTGGGTGGCTGGCTCTGCCTCCCAGGGGACACGTGGCAATGTCTGGAGATGCTATTTGGTCGTCACAGCCCCGGAAAAGACACGTGAGTACGTAGAAGCCAGAGATGCTGCTAAACATCCTGCAACGCACAGGACGGCCCCCGCTGGAAAGGTCACTTCTCTGTTAACGTTGGAGTTAAATGAAGAAGGCCTGGCTCAGGGAGCCGGCCAGAGCAAGGAAGACAAACAGGCGCCCTTACGAATCCCGGGGAAAGGAGAACAAAGACACCTTAGCGATTCTAGATCAGAGACCGTGAGTTTTGCAGGTGAGGAGCCAGGGGAATCCGAGGTGAGAGTAAATGCTAGAAGTGGAAACGAAAGACCGGGTTATCTTCCTGGGGGTGTAAATGCAGAAGATTGGGTTCGGAGACACACCCTTTAGGGCTGCTCACAGTTAAAGGACAAGTGGAACCCCAAGCACACTCTGGTTTTTGTTGTGCTTTGCTCTGACACAAGGGGTGAAATTAGAGCTTGAGGGCAACTCAGGGACTCTAGCTCAGGAAGCTGAAAGCAGTCTGGGGTGGAAACCTAGCCCAGGTCCCCCAGTTTGGAGAAAGGCTGCCGTACAGAGCTGTATGCGGCACTGCCCGAGACAGCGGGAATCACTGTCCACCCTCGGTGGGTTTTCAGTTGCACTGACCAGCTATTCTGCTCGCGTTCACTCCACACAGTGACCAGGTGAGCTCCTTGTGAGTAGCACTCAGTGTCACATCTTCTAAGTTCTACCATGTTCTGGCAGTGCTCCGAATACAGATCGGCTCGGACATCAAACAGCACCCCAAGGACGGAAGGTCCAGGCTGGGAATGGCAAACACATTGTGTACCGCTCTCGTTTTCTCTTCCCCAGGGCCCCTCTCAGCCCAAGGTTCCGGGCATCTGCCACCAGCTGACAGAGCCGGCAGCACTCACCTGGAACCCTGGCATCACCTCTGTTTTAAAAATCCTCCGCAGGTTGAACATTCAACTAGGGAAGGATTTCTATCCAACAGGGCACCTGGCAGGCACCCCCTTCACCTGGCACCTGTCTGTGTGGACAGGCCTTACACTGCCAATGCTGCACCGATTTTGGGAAGTGCTGACCTTAAGCATGTCCTGACTCTCTCTTCACAGCCTAAGAGGCACCATCCCAGTCAACACAGAAGGTTCACGTCCAAATGCCTCCCACGACACTTGATTTGGTACTGGGTGCACAGTGTTATTTGCTAGGCACAATGAATTCCTTTTATTGTGATAAACGGCGACCTCTCAGATATGAAAAGCTACTGTAGTACTACTTTGATCATAGCTGGACTACATTCTAAAGGATCATTTCACTCTTGATAAAAATAATTCATTTATGGCGTGTCCAATACCAGGCCATAGGACCTATAACCCCCTGATGTTTCAATGTCAGGAAGGCTTTCAAAGGCAATGGCCATGATAGTCTGCGGCCTCTAACAGGTAAGGGTGTAGTGTTATTGGTAGACTCAAACACAGTTGCGGGGCTAAGAGACGAAGCGTGGTGGTCCCTCTGGTGGGGAGGCTGAAGCCAGCAAGGGGTTATACTAATTCTGATCGCAGCTTCAGTAAGTCAGCTGCAACGAGCAGTAGATAAATAAGCTCCCACCATGGCGGTGAGTTGATGAAAATGCCCAGAATTTTCACCATGAAATAACGAAAACAACAAGCATCCCTTCCTCCCTTTGTCATGTCTTTGTACTTTTCCCGTGGCGTGGATAACAAGGGTGACCAGGACGTGGTTAAATTCCTCAATTCTTCAACTGGATTTTGGTGGGTTTCTTGACTGCTGTACCCATTTCTTTTTTCCCAAACCTCAGTCTATTGTCAAGATGTGAATTACGGGACTTTGTTTCCTTTTCCCCTCTGTTAGTCCTTTCTGGAAGGTCTTGAAAAGCAGACCTAGATGGGGGGTTTCATGTGCTCCGAGGGCACCAGCAGGGACTGTGTATTGCTGGCTGTTGTATTCTTTTTTTTCCCCCTCTGTGACCTGAGGGGTCACTTATTCCCATTATGGTCATAATGACCCATTACACTACCAAAGGCAAGTTTTCCTTTTTTCTGTTTGGGTCTCGCTCAAAGCTACACATTTAAGGCCACCCTGCCAGGGAGCCGTTCGCTTGAGCAATGCTGGGTCTGTATTTATAGACTTGAAAGTTTCTCTTTTTGGCTTTGTCTCCCGCACTTCAAGGAATTGATGCACTGTGTTACCGTGACAACCTTCCTTGATGGCTGTAT